TCACCTAGAAAAAAAAAGATTAGCACAAGTCAGCTTGCACTGGTGCACGTGATGTCGCAAGTGATGTACGCGTACTATTGTGTACTGACTGTCATACTTAAGTTCGCATTAGATAATATTATATTTAATATAGAGTCCTTTGAATCAACAAAATGGTTGAACAAAGGTATATATCTAACGTTCAACGAATTTTTTAAATGATAATTTAAAAGCATTTAATAAGCGATTTTTAGTATAAAAAAAAATTGTTTTTGTTTTTGTTTTAAGTTTATTGTTGTTTACAAACATTTTAGATGCTAATTTTATGATTTTCTCGACGATAATAAAAAAAAGTTAAATTTTTTTTTGCGTTTTTCTATGATTTTTTTTGTGTATTTTTATGATTTTTTTTGTGTTTATTTTTTACATGTTTTGCATGTAACGACTTGTGTAACAACTGTCTGATAATTTATTGTATTCTTAAATTTATTTATCTGTTTATAACTGTTTTTTTCCTTTTTAGTGTGTCATTTATTGTTTTTTTTTAAATCTCGAATTTGAAGATTTTTTTTCCAAGAAATAAAATATTTTTTCGACCGAGGATACATTAAAAATAATTATTTTATCATTAACAACCTTTTTTTTTGGTTTTTGCTATTTTATTGTAAGACTCGTAAGTGCTTACAGAGGAATAATAGTGAAAAAGGGAAAACATAAAGGAAAAAGAAAAAGGGGAAGGGCATTTAATGGCACAGTTCACAGAGGACTGCCGAAAAAAGAGAACATACATGGAAATGGGAACGACGCAAGAAAAATGTCAAAAAAAAGAAAACAAATACAAAAATAACAATAACAATAAACATACTAAGAAAAGTGAAAAGAAGGACACACATCCTTAAAAACAGGGAAAAGTACTACAGGAAGCATAATTCTGATAGGGTGGGGAGAGGTGTAAAACGGCTGGGATGATCTACTGGTTAGCTTAATCGGATTTATTAGTTATCTGCTACAAATTCAAAGCATTTTAAAAGGAACGAGAAGTAATTTGCTTTCATTCTTTTCACTCTCTTTAACGAAAAATAATTACCAACTACATCTCTATCTCTCTTTTGATACTTACTCCTGAAAAATAGATCTTCAAGAAATAGAGAGGATTCTAAATCGGTTGAGTACATATTTTTTAGTCTTTTAGATACATTATCTATCGATGAATAAACTTTTAAACGAACAGATAGGATTCTCAGATATAATTATTACACCTACTATTAAATACGATATTTCTAAATGTTTAAGAGTTTTATTTTACAGTACTCACATAAGTCGACTGAATGCACGAGATTTGTTCACCTTTACACATAATTGATTTTTTTTCTCTAGATCGAGACAGTCAAAGAAAATGAATACGACTATGTTCACATGTGTTTGTTTCTTATATCGACAGAATATACCCGCTGCTATGGAAACAATAATACAACAGTTGATAAAAAATAAAAAGCACTTTTGACAGAAAGAGTCAGAAGGAGAGAAAGAAAGAGAAAGGCGCCAAACAGACTGAAAAAAATAAAACGAATTAAAAATGAATTAACGAATAAATCGTCTAAAAGAGACGATTTAAGTCGGAATAGATCAATCACGTTGCTTAATTGGTTTTATTTTTTTCAATCTGTTTGAGACCAAAGAGAAAAACAAGGAAAGAAAAAGTACAGCATCTCTAGCAAAGAAAGATAATTAATTTTATTCATAGATAACTATTTTATAATTAAATCTATAGAAAATTTTGCAACGACTTATATTCTTATTTATTCAATAATAAAAATTAATTAATGAAAAATATTTACATGTGTTATCGACATGTTTTGAAACTGATAGTCTACTAGCTGATGCGGATGATTCATATCATCATTCTAGAGCGAATCCATCGATGCACTTGTTCCAGTCATTCGGTAACTGGATCAATTAAAAAGATAATTGTACAGAAAAACTAGGCATATCTGACAACATTGTTATATGATACTTTCGTCGCGGCCATTTTTATTTTTTCTATTTGTAATGCGGTGCGAAGCACAGTATTCATGTGGTCCGCCGCGAGTTTTTTTTTTGTTTGTTTTCTTTTATATTTTCTCGACGTTTCCCTTGAAAATTCATATTTTGTGACGCATTGATCGCGATAACAAAAACTCCGATAATACTCGTTTAAATACGAAATCTAAGCACCAACTTCGAAGGAATACCTTCTTTTGAGTTCTTATCGAAATTATGGTTGATATCGTCAGAATTTACTTCCGAAAATGCTAAATTTTTGAAGAAATTTGTATTCTTCATTTTGAGATAATTAAAAAAATGAAAAGATGAAGAAAACTTAGATGCAACTCTGTATAGTCATATGTTAAACAGCTGGAAATACAGCNTCTTTTACAATCTGTGTTCAATCGTCTTTAACTAGTTCTAATATTAGCAGCACGATTGTGTCAAGAGATCCACCACTCCCAGTCGGACTGGACACCCAGTCAGACTGGGTACTAAGTCATTTGATCTTTAGTCCATTAGTCGAGTAGTACTTTCTTCTTTTCTATTATATTGCCATACAGTGATCCTTAGGCTGTTGAAGTACTGATATAAGCTATAACATTGAATCCATTAGCTAATCATATCTTTCTATGTATCAATCGTTATAATTTAGAATACTATAAATAAATTTCGTATGGATTCATTAAACTTTTGCGAGCTATCTATTCAGGCATAGTTTTCGTTTATTATCATCTGCTGAACTATTTTTTTTGCTATAGATAATCCTTCAAGATAATGGATTTTTTTGACAGCTTCTTTTAGAAAAATGTTTCCTGTAAGTTCGATACTGAAATGAAAAATAGAAAAAGTCGGATTCATTTTAATAAGCATCAAAACGAATACGATTGACTCATGTATTAAATGACAGCTTGTAATCGATCAAAATAGTACTAAATCAGAAATTTTAGTCATGAATGATTCAGTTTCGTATTTTGAATTTCAAATTGTATTTTGATTTTGCTAATAATTCCTAGAAGAATGTTTAGAATACCCATGTTTACATTGGAGATAAATACATTTCGAATCAAAGAAAGCTTTTCAGGACAGTCTAATTTGGGGCTCAAATGTGAAGCTCAGATATCCTCTTTGACTTCATCGCATCAATACAAAACATAAAGTGTAAAAATTCTGTAGGGTGATTCTTTTTCCCTCTGATTCTCCATTAGCAGGAAATATCCTTTTCTATTTCTATATCTTAAGAAGAATTATCTTTCTTTGAAACAAGCACCTTGTTTTGCACATTTATTATTATTAACTTATTCATGACTTTTCACTGTCCTAAGTTTTTAAATTTAAAATTTTCATTATTATAAGAACTAAATAGTTAATCTAAGTTAATAAGTGTGTAATGGAAAGGGTGGATGTGGATGTAGATGGCTAGGATGGATGTAGGTGGACGTGGGTGCAATTGTGCATGAAAGAAACACACATCACACTCAGACCTACTTTTGACTTATTACTATTTTCAAGTTTTGTAAATTTTTTCTTATGTATTTGGTCAAACTGTAACTGAATTTTTTACATATCTTTTTTTGCATATATCATTTATATATGACGTTTTTTTTATTTTTCTGTTATACATTTTATTCTTAGTTATTACCATAAAATTTTGTTTGAATTAGGATGATATTAGTTATAACACTATTGAATATATGATAAAAGTGCGAATTTAGTCTTACAAAGAGTTATAAGACTTTGTGTTTTTCTAATAATATTTTGGATTTGCTATTTAATTTTGCAAAATAGAAGAAATTCTTCCTGTGTTGTCTAATGTAAATTACTAATACTGCTAGCATATATCAATAATATTTTAAGTTATAACGATTGGCAAATAGAAATATAAGGATACTCAATCAATTCAATATAATTGCTTATATCAGTATTTTATCAGCCTGAGAATTAATGCATTGCAATATATTAGAAAAGAGGGGAGTACTGTTCGATTAACGAGATAAACATCCAATGACTAAGTACCTAGTCATGACTGTATGCCCAGTCCGACTGGGACCCAGTTACTGGCACTGGTGCATCTCTAATTGTGTCACTCACTATTATTAATAGAAGTGCCATTAATGTCGTTGTAGGTAAATAATTTTAACAACACTGGTGGGTTGATAACGTGATCATATTGTTTCTTATGCAAAAATGTGACGAATAGAATAATTAGACATATCAACAACAATATTAATAATATTGCTATAGCAACACGATGCTGTCGAATATGTTTGTTTTTTTGCAGAATTGTATTCTGCTGTAATGATGATGTCGATGATAATTGATTGTTATCATGATTGATTAACATTATTCCATCGGACAACGATGTATCAAGTTTTTTATATTTCATTATTTGATTTAGTGTCTATTCACGAACAAAATCAAATGCAATCGATTTTAAAACAATAGATAGTCTATTTATTTTACTTCTTACTTTACTCTTATCTATCGAATTGGATCGGGGATCGAATGACATCATTTTATTCCAGTGAAACGGAATAGGTTATAATTAATGTTTTGTATCGATGTCAATTAAATTTGATCGTACACAATGAGAAAGTAACTGTACCATAGATATTATTTCAGTTAATATATACAAACATTTATCGTGACAATATTCAAAAGAACCATTCATCCTTTTGTCGTAGTCCAGAATAGACGCTTTTTTCTTTCTTTCTGTCCGAATCATACAAGACTTCTTTATACTACGAGACAGTGACTCATCCCTATTTTGATAATGATGAAGAATGTCCGAGACAATAAGCCTCATCAAATTAGTACCTTGATTAACGATCAGGTTGAACAACCTGATTCAAGAATCAATTCCTCAACAGCACACTAAAACCAATCAAAACGTAATATATCAAAAAGCTCAAAAGAAGATGATGACTCACTGGAATTTGAATATCCCTTGGCCAATGCACGCAACCAATACGTCAATAGTAGCGGTTCACACTTAAGCCCAACGACATCTTGCTCCATTGCAAACCTCACGAATTCAACATCTCCTCGACTATAATTTCCACCATTTTATATTACCTTTGCTGCTGACGATACACCATCTGAACTACGAATTATTAAAGACGCCAAGAAGCAATGTCGCATCAGCATTTCCTATGGTCGATATTCAAAAATAGGACACAATAAATGTTTTCTTTTATATGCTAACTCAAGTAAACAATTTGATCGTTTAATGAATAAAAGTCTTTGGCCTAAACAAATATGTTCTCTTGATTTTTCTCTTGATTTGCCATCAAAAGTTTCTTCTTCTTATTCTATTGTAGCATTAGGTGCTCCTGCTCAATGGAATTTAACTGAATTCGAAATAGATATAAAAAAACCAATATCCGACAATTATTAGGGTTGAACGTCTTTATATTAAGGGTGGTTTATCAATTTCTAAAGTTCGAATTGATTTCTCTTTCAATCTAGAAGTCAACAAAAATATCAAGAATAGAAGATTATTATTCGATGAAAATACGTCATTCTTGATCCAACTTTATTCACCACCATTTCGAATATTACGTTGTTTCAATTGTCAACAATACAATGATCATATTGCAGCAAATTGTCCACACAAGGACAATCCTATTTGTTTTCGTTGTGGTCAAAATCATCCATACAATCTGAATTGTACTAGCAAGATTTGTTGTACAAACTGTCGTCAAAATCATATGGCAGGTAATCCAAATTGTCCAATAAAAATAGAAGAAAGAAAAAGATATCAAAATATCTTCTCTTCGACCACAAACAACAAATCAAGTCAATAAAATCTTTCTTCTTGCGTTTGAGCAACAAATCAACCTAAACGCAATACACCTATTCATCCATCCCGCGCAATTAAAAATATTTTAAGAAGATACAAATGTAAATGCAATCTTGGACATTTCGAAGAAACTCGACTTACTATGATTAAAATAGAACATCTCTCAACTGAGCAAGCCAAGATCAATTCAAGTACTCACAATGCAAATCGGCTTCTCAATTCATGTCATAAAGAAACGAATCTATTAAAAGAATTTATTATGAATAAATTCTGTCCATTTGTTTGTGAACTGAGTGATGCATTTCTTGATAAGAGCAAACAAGTAGAGAAAGATCGGCTACGGTCGTTACTTGTTCAATTCAAACAAGATTTCAAGGAAGCAACTAAATCAACTGTTTTTGATACACGAACTAATGCTATATTACAAAATTCCCCATCAAATGAATCCATCAGCGATGACTTTTAAACAAAATCAAAAGAAATTTTATTACATCAATACCTATCAATTAACAAAAGCTGAAGAAAACATTTGTCAAGAATTGTTATGTGAATAGAGTGATACTTCCACACTTGATCTTTTATTTGAGCAATGGATAAACCATCGTGATAAAAATTTTTCTTTGATGAACATACAACAAAATATATCTCTTCTTCTTTTAAATGTTTCTAGTTTAAACAAGTACCTTGTTGACGCAATTTATTTAATTGATTTCATATCATCATCAGTTGTGATACTAAATGGTACACATGATGATGACAATTCGGTTAAACAATACAGGTCTCATTTCTTTAATTTTAATATTTTCTCAATGACAGAAACAAACGTATTTGGTGGTGTGTTAAAAGCAGTGCATAAATCATTTTGTACACAACGAGTAGATGAATTTGATAAATTATGTAATTTAATCGTGCTGGAAGTTGGATCAGATTTGGATATATTTCAATTAGTTACATGTTACTCTCTACCTACTGAACCTATTCCTCTTGATATATTTGATCGTTTACTTCAGCGTAATACAAATACAATCTTTACCGATGTTTTTAACGCCAACCATAATTCATGGTCAAGATTTGAAGATAATCAAAAGAGTCGAGCTTTATTTAGCTGGCTAGTTTCATCACCAATACATTCATCTCTAGAAATTATTAACAAATATATATCTACTTCAACTTGCTCAAATCCAACAATTGATTTAATTATCGCTCCATCGCATATGTCGACTACTTCCTTCTTGGTTCTTCCAAGTATTGGAAATGATCATCATCCCGTTCTATGGAGTGGATGTGGGTGTTAATCTTTCCTACATTCACACTCACACTCGTTTCGACCTTATGCAAGGCATCATCAAGTCAGTTTTATTATCTAAATTTTGTTGCTGCATATAGATCAATTCACAAAACAGTACCAGTTCTACGAAGGGTGGGTGGGAGTGCAGATGTGAGTTTTAGTGTAACTCATTCACATTCCCACACCAATCCATCCACACTCACACAGGGGTTACATAGGGTGTGGGTTTGGGTGGGTGTAGGTGACTGTGAATGATAACAGCAACATCCACACTCTCAAATTTGACGATAAAGATGTTTTTTGTGTACTTGAATTTTCTTCAATGAATAAAATATAATATCAGATGTTTATTTATAGAGTTGTAGAGAATTTCACACGCTATCAGAATATATAACTACTTTTCTAAAAACGATAATTTATAGGGTGTGGGTGTGACTGTGCACTGTAAAAAATAAGCGTAGAATCCTAAACCCTGAAAGGGTTTATGAGCGCCAAATACCCTTTCATAAACCCTTACAAAAGGGTTTCTAAAAGGGTTTAAGAGGCACGTATACTAAGAAAGGCTATATGGAAGGGTTTATGAGATATTCATATATTCAGAAAGGGTTTAGGATAGGCTTTAGAAGATATTCATACATTGATTATGAGCATCTTCTAAACCCCTTCTGAAACCCTTTCTGAATATATGAGTCTCTCTCAAACCCTTCTCTAAATCTTTTCCGGATATATGAATATTTCTCGAACCCTCTTCGAAGCACTACTTAAGGTGTACGAATATTTTGTACACCCTTACATACACTCTGTTTCTGTAGATAGATTGAAAAAAGGTTCATACAACAATTTGTCAAAATCTTGTGAACTAACTGCGAAAGAAAATTCATTGCAACTGAGCTGAGAGAAAAATCGTAGTTCAATTTAGTCAATATAACACGAATGAATATTATTCGCAACTCATCTTTGGGAAACTAGCGATTTTTGTTTAAGTTCACTCAGTATTTTGGGAATACTATTTGTTATTTATATATTTGGAGAATCAATCTTTCTCTCGAAATAGATATAAAAGAGTTATTCTCGCTATTCTAACTACATGAAGAAAGAAAAAGACTTTCTCGATACTTTAAATAGAGGATAGATAAATACTATCTAGAACTTAACATAACGAAAATACAGGATGTTTGTCACTATCTCTTCTATCATACGAAAAACAATGTTCTGTATCTGTCTTACAAAAACTATTATTGTCTACATATCAACTTAAAAAAAATTATATTCTATATCTCAGCTACATAGAAAAATAAATATCGATTTCTATATCTTAACTAAAAGAAAAAAAATATCGTTTTCTATATCTCAACTAAATAGAAAAATAAAACGTCATTCTCTATATCTTAACTAAAAGAAAAAAAAATATCGTTTTCTATATCTCAACTACAAAGAAAAGTAAAAAATCGTTTTATATGTCTCAAGTAGACAGAAAAGAAAGAATTGTTTCAATTAACGAAGAACGATACATAGCAGATGACTTGTTCTAATTGGATAGTACAAAAAAAGACACGTCTTTTCTTTTAGGATGGAGAAAAAGAAAGAGTCACTGTTTGAAAGTCATATCTATTAAAAAAGTTATCTACTGTAATAAAATGACGAAAAGAATATATTTCTCTTTAGGTCTACTACATGAAAAATCGAATTTTTTATGTTGGAAATGGATAAAATCGATGAAGCTGTTATTTCTGATTAAATGATGAGAAAAAGGTAATTTTCTTGATTACGATGAATGAAAATTATTAAGTCACTATTTTCTTTCGACTGATGTGAAAAAACTATCAACATTCTTAGAGATAATGAAAATAAATTCTTTGAGGGTCAATATAATTGTATTCCTATGTTTGATATGTCTTGCTAATTAAACCAATTAGTGTTTATCAACGAAATAAAACACTGAAATAAAGGGTCACTATCTATAGGTCAATTTGATAGGAAAAATGATTTTTCTAATCGAAAATAACGGAATAATGGATGGATATAGGTAACTAGATGAAAAGCGAAAACTATTTCTATAAAGATAGATGAAAAATTACGGGGATATTCGGGGAGCCCTGGTTGAATGGGGTACGTCTCTGACTTGGATCCAGAGCGTATGAGGTTCGATTCCTCCTCCCTGAACAAAGCACACTGTTTAATCATATTGTAGAAGCTTACCGGCTATTGTCTTACTGTACAAGCAACATGTCTACACACAACGTATGTTATCTCGGTGGAATGCATGTGCACGTTGGAAGATCGTGTTTCAATTCTTCGTCGAATGGCCACATAAGACATGCATTATATTCCGCTCTTATCTTTCTCTGCTCCACTTATGCTTGCTTTTCTCTCTTATGTGTAACCTGTTGATTGTAAAAGCTACATTGTCCCTTTAGGACCGACATGGTCGTGGGGTTTTCATTGCTAATAATAAAAAAGAATTAAGGGGATATTTATAATGACTGAATTATATAAAGATGAAAAGATTGTCTCTATAAGAGTTGGACGAAACAAAATATGCGAAACGTGTATTGATAGTTGAATAAAAAGAAAAGATCTATTTTAGTTGAACAGGATAAATGGAAATATAGAAATAGAATCGCTCAGTTAAGTGAATGAATAATAAAAATATTTTCGATTAAAATATATTAAGAATAGCGAAATGCTTGTTCTATCTATATATGTGAAAATACTATGCTTTTCAGCTATAATAGACGGAAAATAAAGAGTTAGTTTACCTAACTGATGGATATAGTATAAACGATCTTGTATGTCAAATGGAAAAAATCAAAGGTCATTATTTGACAACGAAGTACATCAAATGATGATCTTTTCTATAGCAGCGAGTGAATCATAAAGAAATGTTATCTGTGACTCAACACTATATGAAACGAGGTTATGTGAATTGAAATGCATTATAATAAAGGACAAAGGAAAACAAGTCTTCGATCTTAAATTCTTATGAAGTATTTAAATTTCACAGAGTCTAACAAAGTCCACTAAAGACTTGTGAAATCTTTTGAGGCCTGTCTATATCTTAGTGTTGTTGTTTTTAATCTCGATTGAAGTTTCGACAAATCTTATAAAGCATTAATAATTCTTTAAAATCTTTTGAAGATTCACGAGTGTTCTAGAATTCGCTGTTCTTACATCAGACTTTGGTTTTGAAATTCGATGAAGTCTTGAAGTCGTATAAGGTCTTCTGAAGTCTTTCGAATATTTTGAGCTTCTGTGCAGCTCTACGAGGTCTAGAAGCTTCATGAAACTTCTTGAAATACCTTGACGTTCCATACATTCTTTCAAATTGTTTAACTCTGCGAAGGTTTATAAAGTCTCATGGAGTCTAGTGAAATTTCATAAAACGTTTTGAAGTTTCGAAAGTGACTTTAAGATTTCAGGAGTTTTCTGAAATACCAAAGCCTCGAAGTCCACTGTAAGCCCTTGGGATAGACGTAATATAAGAATTTAACATCCATGCCAAAACGGTATCAGAGGATATTTAGAAATTTTTTCTTGCAATTGGTTGATTGTACCCTGATGATGAAAACAGTCAAACACACCATTAGAAACCAAAATATAAGCATATTACAGAGACGGAATCAAAAATACTAATAAATAATATCAGAAAAAGTAGAATAAACGTTGATCCTCTTTTGATGAATTAATTCACGAATGAAGGGTAAAGATTAATTCACAATATAAAGAAAATATCCTTTCTAAATCAGTATCTAAGAAAAATGTTATGAAAAATGTTTACTTATGTGTAAGAAGGTCAGCCATATTTATAAAACCGTATGAGAACCTACCATTTCACAAAAAAATAATAAACTCTTCTTTTTTAGTTTCAGAATAATAAACTCTTTACATGTAAAAGTAGAATAATCTACCATTATGTGTAGAATTAGAAAATCCTTATCCATACTTCGAATGATAATAAACCCTTTTGCAACGTTCATAAACCCTTTTTATATTCATCTACCCTTGTTTTCATAAACCCTTGAACTCATATACCCTTACAGAGTTTTGGAGATAGGAATAAACCCTTAAAGGGTTTATGAAAAATTTCACATAGGAGAAAAGTATATTATTCTACTATTTTTTTTACAGTGTGTGTGTGTGGGTGTGGAATTCTTCTTTCTAGACCGATATCCATCCAAAACCACACCCAAACCCAAACCCACACCCACACCCACACCCGCAATCATAATCCCTAAAAATGCAGTCTGAGAAACGTGGTACATTACAATGCTATTTTCTTTCTTGTAACAAAAAATCACATATTCATGAACAAGAAATTGAACCGAGCATAGTCATTCCACCTTCTTTATCAACACCTGAAATTCAAGATCTTTCTTGTTCTTCTTCGTTGACTAGCGACCAAAATTTATCTGATTGCTTTGTTCATGATTCGACATCTTCGCTCAACTTATCTTCTTTAAATGAAAACTCTTATGGAAAATCTATTCCAAATGATATCAGTAATTCATGTAATGATGCTCCAGTTCAAACAAAACTAACAAATTATCCAGTTAATCAACAAAATCGCTCACTTCAATCGAACTGGTTTAATGATAGAATATGGTTGGAATATTCAGTAAAAAATTATGCATGTTATTGCTATTATTGCCGTCATTTCTCTTCGAATCAATTAAACGCCGATGATGCTTTTACGAGTAAAGGATTTAATAATTGGAAGAAGGCGTTGGACAAGACTGTTGGTTTGATTAAACATGTATCATATCAAGCACATATTGTTTCAACAAAAAACTATCTATCATACAAACAACAACAAGCAGCAAATTCCCATGTTCTGAAAAAATTGGACTCATGTCGTGCAATTCAGATTCGTAAAATTCGTGATGGGTGTGAGTGTGGGTGTGTGGGTGTGGATGAAGAGAAGTTCCTCACCCACACGTGCACACCCACACCCCACTCACCTTCTGACGGGATCTGATCTATTCGAACAGTTCAGATGAGATCACGGGAACTATTCAAATAGTTCTTGTGATGGGATCTGATCTTACTCCAACAGATCACTTCTAAGAACTGATCGACCAGTATTAGTAAGCGGCCCTAAAGAGCTATCCTAATGAGTACCCATAGTTCCTCAAAGTTGGTCGAGATTTGGTATTGTCTAGTTTTCAAGGGCTGTCTTGGGGTAGTTTTGGCTTCTCTTCCAGAGTTATCCGGGTGAGGAGTGTTGAATACCGTTGAGTGTTCATGATATATCTAGCCTTAACCGTCATAGGTCTTCAGGAGCTTTTAGGCCTATGCCGCAGGCTGTAGGGGTGGGTTAAGATATCCACACCCACATCCACATCCACATCCTACACTCATTTCTTGTCCGAGAAGGGTGTAAAGTGAGAGAATGTTTAGACCTGTGTTTTTATCTTGTTGAATGCGACAAATCTCACCGATTGTCTGCATGAAGCACTCTAACTAACTGATATGAAATAGATACGCCGAGATCAAATTGGAGTCCATCGCTTGGAATTTTCTTATCAGCCATCGATGTACAAGGCATTAATGTAAGAAAACACCATTTTGATGAATTCAATCCATCTAGATGTGTTTGGATTGTAGAATAAAATGAATCCTGCACTACAACTATAATGATTGATCGGTGCATATGGGTTTTTTAGGCATTTTTCTACTGACTATCTGTAGGTTTTTTCGTGATGTGGCACATCAAAAGCTAGCTGATGATTGACAAGAACAATGAACGTGAACATCATGCTGAGCTTGATATTTTCCGATGTTGAAAATATACACTTCAGCGAAGACTATTATTGCTTTTCTTCGTTCATTCTCGATCAATGTAATAACACTTCTTCTTTTCATAGTAATAGCTACTCAAAATCTATCGAAAGCATAGAGAACGGAGTGATACGAAAACTATTTATGATACAAAATTTCAATACAAGTCAATACAAAATGAAGTATCAGTTATGATTGAACTGAATTTATTGATTAAGATTGATTAGTCGAATTTGTTGAGCAAAGAAACAACTTGTTATAATCAGCATAACGTGTTTCGATATCTTCTCGATTGAGGCCGAAATCAGCAAGAGAATATTTATGTCGACCGTGTTTTCCTTGAGGATTTTCGAGAAGCCAATTTTGTATAGCCATTTTCATTTCTTCTGACCAATGAAGATTGAAATGTTTATAGATTTGTTGAACAACACCAATTGGATCTTTCATTAAATTGTCATAAGAAACATCAAAAATATTTTTTTGCATTTGCTTAAAGGCATCATTTTGTAAATTCCGAAATTTCATTATATATTCGATTTCTGCATCGAAGAATTGACAGGTTCGTTTTATTATTCTATCTCGAGAGATCGAGTTTGTGTTGTCAAAAAGCAATTCTGAGGTTGCCAAAGACAACCTACACATTGAAGGAAGAACTTCATCGAGATTTCGATGAGTCATAATTAATAATGTATTTGGATGATTTTGAAAAAATTTATCAAGACAAAAAATATGTAACGGTGATTTTAATAACCAATGAGATTTTGGCATATCAACACTATTTAACATACGCAAAAATATTTCATGATAATCATATACATAATTTTTGCTTATTTCATTACGAATCCAATTTTCAGCATTTTGATCTTCATTATCAGATATAATGGTGAACATTGGAAAATAGCCAGCTTGACGTATAATATGATAATCTTCTTCAATTGGAAACTGTGGATGAGATGCAGCCATGCTACTGAATAGCTTGGATAATTGTTCATTGTTCATTTGAGAATTAAGCATATCCATTCGTTGTTTTTGTCTAATTGAATCGGATCGCGCTATAGGTGGAACAACATCAATGTACATATCAGTGTAAAATGGTGCGCGGCATTGCGGATCACAAGCAAGTAAATTGTAGAGTAATGTTGTACCTGTACGTGCGGGACCACAAATTACCAAAGGACCAATAGTAGGTAAATTTTGATTGACAAATTTATTGTGTTCGATTGCATAATTTAAAACACGTTTACAACTTGTGTGTAAATTCTGAAGTTCGGCTAGCAAAAGAAATCGACCAACAGGTGTTATATGTTCGTTACAAAGTATACTTTGACGATATGATTCAAACGTTCGAAATATATCACTGTGATAAGTAAAATGAATTTTGGCTTGCTCAGTTAAATCATCTTCACATAGAATAGTATCATTCGATGTTGTTAAATGATCATTATTTGTTTGATCTGGTGATGTCATACTCATTGGAGTTCAACAGTAATACTTTTTTTGTAAAGACTTATGAATGAGTTTTGCTTGTTTGCTTTATCTAAAAGTAATAATTCACGGACAGATATTAAAAACGTGTCGATTTCTATAAGATATCAATAAAGTACGCAAGTATAGGAACTTGGGTGGAAAAATCCCATTAGAATTTGAACAAGAATACTCAAAAAAAATCAAAGCAGGTGTATAAATGATTTATACTAAGTTTTGCTTCACGTAATTAATGTTGTTTGCTTTAGATGTTTTGCTAATGGAGAAGACTGATATTAGCAGTATATATGTATATATACTAGACGTCTAAATGTATCACGCATCATAATGTGAGCTTTTTTGAGTATTATTAACAGAAATATTTTAACATGTCACGGAAACTTCTGAATCACAGTGCTAGTCAGAAGTTCTGACATGTCTAAAAAACATCGGCTCAAGTCAAAGCATTTTTCACGAAACTAATATCAGACATAGAACTTGAAAAATTAGTGTCGTAAGCATCAACTATGAATGGATTTACCGTTCGCCTCAAAAGTATTATACCACTGTTTTGTTTTGGCTCGCGTTTCAAAACTATACGAAATAAATTCAATTTTCTTTTTTTCTTTAGATAGTACGGCTCGAGTACTATATGTATGCCCGTGTTTGAAATGGAGGATCCTTAAATATGAAGCACAGAAATAAAAAACAAACTTCAATACCAAGTGAAAAATTGTGTAAAAAACTACAAAATGATATAACTATTATGAGTTTTAGTAGTTTTAGTACGATCCGAGAATGCAAAAAATGAGTAGCATTTTTAAAATGTTTTTACATGGTTCGATAGATCTTGACGAGCTCTACAAAACCGTTTATATGAGAATTTTTTAAGCCCTATTTTGGCACAAAAATTTTACATGTTTTATCTGTTCTATATGAAAAATTGACAACGTTTTTCATACGAACAAGATAAAATGCAAGTAATGCAAAAATCGAGTGGGATTTTTCTTTGATGTTTTTACATAGTTCGGCAGATCTTGACGAGCTCTACAAACTGGTTGCATAAGAATTTTTTAAAATCCTACTTTGGCACAAAAGAATTACAATAAACTCGTATTTTTACCTTTTTCGTATAAAAAATATTGTGGAATTTTCATAGAGAACAGATAAAACATATGACTTTTTTACTACTAAAATAGGGTTTAAAAAACTTCTCATATAATCAGTTTTGTAGAGTGTGTCAAGATCTATTGAACTATGTAAAAACATCAAAGAAAAGCCCCACTCGATTTTTGCATTACTCGCATTTTACTATTTGTAGCTTTTTGCGCAATTTTTCTCTTAGTATTAAAGTTCGTTTTTTATTTTTGTACTTCATATTTAAGGATCCTCCATTTCAAACACGTGCATACATATAGTACTCGAGCTGTACTATCTGAAGAAAGAAAGAAAATTGAATTTATGTCGTATAGTTTTGAAACGCGAGCCAAAACAAAAAAGTGGTACAATACTTTTGACGCAAACAGTACAAGTTAAACATTATTCTGATCTTGGTTGGTTTCAGTCTTTGTGTTCAAGAGATGTCTTCTTGAGATTCACCATCACTTTTGAAGTTCTTTGGTCCTTGCATTTACAATATAGGTTTTGAGACTAAAAGAGCATTTTGATATCTGGAAGATTTTAATAATATGCATGTCAAAGATGACAGATGCAACGAACTTGAAAGCTATGAATGAATGCAGGGAAGAATTCCATTGGACACAAAGACTGAAACCAACTAAGTTCAGAATATTGTTTCATAGCTAGACTCACTTTTACATAGTTAGCCGATCAAGTTCAAGTAGATGTCAGCGATAATAATTTTCCGAGTTATATCTCTCGTAGCTATTTCGTGGAAACCGATTTGACTGCAGTCGAACTTCCGCTTATACCAGGACTTCTGATCAGTACTGTGATTAAAAATTTTCTGTAATACGTTAAAATATTTATATCTATAATAGATGACAAGCTCACATTATGATCCATGACAGACTTGAACATCTGACATAAATACAGTGGTCCAAAAATTATTCGTCCATCTATATAAGATCATACTATCTCTTTTGTTATATATAAACCAAATAGATTTGAGAGCTCAATCATATATCACTATGTAGTATATTATATCTNAGAAAAAATTAAAAACTAAAATTTTTCCCGAGATCCTGTGGGGTACCCCAGGTCCGAAAAACCTGACCGGTCGATTTCGCAAAAATAAGTGTCTGGAAATACTCTTGACAATCCCTTCATATGGTTTCAATGCAAAAAACACGAAAATGTTTTGGGCCAGCAAAGGGTCTTATCCGCCCTCATCCTTTCTCGGTAATTTCGAAAACTTCCTCTTACTCATCGGGTATGAACTTTTTTCCATCATATGAATATATGTATATGCAAATTTATATAATATATTTTTGGAAAGTAATGTTCGTTTGAATCGTTTCAATTGTAATTTACGAACTTACATAATTGATATGATATTTGTGTAGGAGTAATTTCTGAAATTGGATAATTTATGAGAAAAATTTACTCTTTTTTTTTTGTTTTTTTTTAAAGTGTAAATACTGCTGATCTAGAGAACAAAGATTGTAATATGTTCTAATTGCTTTATTCGATAGAAAAAAATTGAACATGATCTATATCATACCTGTTAAAATAGCCAAATAAATTGAATAATAATTACGATGTAAATTTTCAAAAGAAGAGAAAAACAAAATCTGAAACATAATATAACGAAATAAAAATCGTAATAAAAAAAATTTTTCTTAAAATTTTTCATTAGTATAACCCGAAGCTATACCAGATTTTCCTTCTTTAAGTTCTGATATAGATTTATTAGATTCTTTTTCTTCATTAATATTATCAGTTATTTGTAAACCCCACCAATTTTGACTATTATCAAGATTTCGATTTAATCCATCACGTTGTTGTAATAAAAGAGCATTTGGATGTTTAAGTACTAAAGCATTATTTTCTTCATTTTGTTGATTTATTTCATTTTCATCAATAATTTTCATTGTTGATAAAATTTGTCTTAAATCAAATGAATAATTTATTGATAAATTTTCATCATCTTTTTCAAATGCTTGTATAATATCAGTTATACTAATTAATGATATATTAAATTGTTTATATTCTGGTGAAAGCCATAGACTTTCAGTACATGATGAACAAAGAATATAAACATCAATATTTCTTTCAAAATTATTCATTTTTGTTATTGATAATGTATTCATTAGAAATGTATAATATTGACGATTATTTTTATCAAGTAATTTTTTTATACGATCAAGTAATGTATGAATTGTTAATGAAAGATTTAATAAAGAATTCGATGATACAAGTAAACCATATGATGAACCATTTCGTGCACATTCTATTGCATACATACGTTTACTTAATAATCTTTTACTTGATATTGAAGAATCTGATGGAAATGAACTGAAAAAAAAAACAATAGTGAATATTATTATTTAAAGTTTTTTTTTTTTTTTTTCTTTTGTATTAAATTACCGAAAATCATAAGCATAGAAATAAAGAGCAAAATTATATAATGAAGCTTTTGAATGAGATATGAAAACAATTGAATAATTCGATGAATCAAGTGTAACAGGTAATTGTACTGAACGACCATAAAGTGAAAAATTTAAAGGATCAGTTGAAATTTGTGAACTTATTTTTGATAAAATCAAACGAGTAGATGATGTTGAATATTGTTCAATAGCATCACGAAAACATGGATCATAGAAAACAAGACAATAAGGTTTGTCGTTATCATGATTTGTTACAAGAAAATTTGTTGCATCTTCCCTAATAAATAACAAAAGTAAACTTATTGATATAATTCAATATGATTTCAATTATTATAGAGCTGCAAAGTCACAATCAAACCTTCAATTAAAATTTATAATTCGCTTCTAAACTACAAGTCCGATAAGATCTCTACTAACGAGGGAACATATTCAACTGTCAAATCGCTTTTGGATCGGGCATGTGCGCAAACAATAGACCTCAGTGAGTTATTAAATGACCTAGAATAGTTTGGTTTTCCAGTCTTCTTTTGTCGAGTTATGGGCCATTTGCTCGATTTTGGCCTATCCGGATCCNTCATTTGCATCTATGTGATATACATAATGCCGACTCATAAGTCATTTATCAGTTGGAGAACTTCCTTCGTCAGTCAGAATAAACGATATGAAAAAACCTTTCCACACACACCTGATTCTCAATTTGAATCGTAATTAATATTGAATATTATTTTTCTAATTTAGAATTCTTTATCAGTATGAAAATAAAACCATTGATGTACGATAACCATGTGTTTATGTCATTCAAATTGATAACAAATATACAACAATTTTGATATTTTATAGGAATCTAATAATCAAATACAAGACGTTCTATTTGTTTTTTTTTAATTAATTCAAAAATTTATTAAAGTAAAAGAACAAAACTATTTCTATTTAATTGTTTGTTTTTGTTTCTATCTTTTTTTTTAGAACTTTGAAATAAAAAATTAAATTACGCATATTAAACATTTAGAAAATTGTCCAGGGTTAAAATACTTGAAAAGTGTCCTTGAATAAAAGTAAGTATTTTGGGAATAAAACAAAAGAAGATGAATTTAATAAATAAATAAATTTTATAATTATCTTCTTAGAATTCTATTTAAATAAACAATAGAACAAAAATAATTAACAATTTCATTTTGTTTTTCATCAATTGATACTCACCATCGTCATTGTCCACTATCATCTCAACCTCCGTCTCTTCTCTTTCTTCTCAACGCCATCATCATCGTCCAATAATTCTCAGTGTTCATTTTCTATTCGTTCATTGATAAAACAATTGTATCTAAATTTATATATCTATCTATCAACAAGATTTTATTATTCCGTCACCATTAAATATGCATCCAGCAAAACCTCCTATTGATATCATACGTATTGATAAACGTTTATTAACCAATGAACATCTATCGATAAAAACAAAACAAATTAAACTTGAACCAATATCATCATTTTCTATTGATAAAAATGAAAATGAGTTATCAAAAATACATAAACATTCATCATCTTCTACACCACCAACATCTGTTTCATATTTACCTGATGGTCGTATACCAACACCACCACAACCACCAAAATATTCATCGATTAATCTTAAACCAACAACACCAAGTCTTATTTTAGAAACACTTGATGAAGTTATGTCACCACAATTACAACATTATTGTATATCACATCCAATATGTGTTCTACGTGGTATATCTAATGTACTTAAACTTGATTTAGGTTTATTTTCAACAAAATCACTTGTTGAAACTCAACCTGATCATCAAATTGAAGTTCGAACACAACGACAACAAGCCAGTGATGAAAATTTTGATTTTACAGCAATGACAATACCATTAAAAAATATTTGGAAATGTGAATCAAGTCGTTCATATACAACTATAGCAAAATATGCACAATATCAAGCATATTCATATAATGATATGATTAAAGATGATTTTAATGAACCATTATTACCATCAACAAATAATTTAACAAATGGAACATCGAAGAAAAATTCTAGTAAATATATTAAATCAGAATATAATGTGTTTCGTTGTTTTTTGAATAACTTTTGATAGAAACATCATAGAGATATGCAGTTTTTATGAGTTAAGAAAGAAGATTAGAGACCATCGAAACATACCGACATTTGAATAGGTTAGTAATTGATCGATCACGTCAATTCTTGATAAAGATTTTTGAAAACAATATTCTAAAGCTATTTCACTTGCGATTTAGACATTTAATAGGACTAATCAATAGGAAAAATTCTTCTCTAGGGATCTACGTAAAGCCGACATTTCTAGTCATTCCATTCGAGAGTTAAAAGATTTTTCATGAGACCCTCAATTTCAATTAATGGACCTTGTGATCATCTGGAAATGTCGTTAAATAGAGGAAATTTACCCAACTGGTGTTAGGTGTCAAATCCCTTTTCGACTGAGATAATGTTCACAGGAACAAAGTTTTCAATGATATTAGTTCATTGGACAAGTTCTAAGTTGTATAGTGTATCGTANAGTAAATATATTAAATCAGAATATAATGTGTTTCGTTGTTTTTTGAATAACTTTTGATAGAAACATCATAGAGATGTGCAGTTTTCATGAGTTAAGAAAGAAGATTAGAGACCATCGAAACATACCGACATTTGAATAGGTTAGTAATTGATCGATCACGTCAATTCTTGATAAAGATTTTCGAAAACAATATTCTAAAGCTATTTCACTTGCGATTTAGACATTTAATAGGACTAATCAATAGAAAAAATTCTTCTCTAGGGATCTACGTAAAGCCGACATTTCTAGTCATTCCATTCGAGAGTTAAAAGATTTTCATGAGACCCTCAATTTCAATTAATGGACCTTGTGATCATCTGGAAATGTCGTTAAATAGAGGAAATTTACCCAACTGGTGTTAGGTGTCAAATCCCTTTTCGACTGAGATAATGTTCACAGGAACAAAGTTTTCAATGATATTAGTTCATTGGACAAGTTCTAAGTTGTATAGTGTATCGTATCTTGAGATGTTCAATATTCGAAAGTTATCTCATGTATGAAAGCAAATTGTGTACATCTTTAGAGAGGACATACTAGAGAAGTTAAAACTCGAAACTTGAAGGAGGCTTATAGGTTTTTATTTAAAAAACTAAGTAAAATTTCGTATCTCCACAATGAATGTGCGGAAAACCAAACCATTCTACACTTTTCTATTACTCGATAGTACTTATCAGATGAGCATCGTCTCAATCGAAAAACGATTTGATACCCGGAGAGGTTCTTTGCTAGCAGAGTGAATTTAGCTGCTTATCCGAATGATCACAGATCAATTAGACTGAAATTGAGTGTCTCATGAAAAGTCTTATAACTTTCGAACAAAACAAATTAGGAATATCGATCTTGTGCGAATCGAAAGGAAATTAGCTTTAGAGTTAGTTTTCACCAAGTATCCATTTGATTAGTTAGTCGATGACGAATCAAATTTCGACGTACTTCGGTGACCCCAGATTTTCTAGCATGAGTAATGAAAACCGCACGTTTCTATGATGTTTCTATGAAAATTTATTCAAAAAACAATGAAACACATTATATTTTGAAATGGATACTTATAGTTTTTTTTTAAATAATTATTTTTGTTTTCAGCATCATGTGTACGTACAATTAAATTTGGTACTAATGTTGATCTATCAGATGAAAAGAAATGGTCAATACAATTAAATGAATTAACAAAATTACCATTATTTTTACGTGTTCAATCAGCTGGAAATCTTTTATCTCATATTGGTTATACAATATTAGGTATGAATAGTGTACAATTATATATGAAAGTACCTGGTTCAAGAACACCAGGACATCAAGAAAATAATAATTTATGTGCTATTAATATTAATATTGGTCCAGGTGATTGTGAATGGTTTGGTGTTGATCATCAATATTGGGGTGTTATACATACATTATGTGAAAAAAATGGTGTGAATTATTTAACGGGTTCATGGTGGCCTATATTAGAGGATTTATATGATGCACATGTACCGGTTTATCGTTTTATACAAAAACCTGGAGATCTTGTTTTTATTAATACAGGGTAAGAATTTTAATTTAAAAAAAATATAGAAATTTTAACTATATCGATGGATATTTAGTTATTAGTGTAGATTGAATGGACATTTTTGAGTTCGAACTCTGCTTAAGTTCGACTTTGAAAGATTAAGGGCATCTACACATTCTGTATAGATTTACAGCTGTTTCACCGCGATTTTTGTTCATAGATAGGTCTACTTGTTATTAGAATGTATTCTTTACGAGATATTGAGTTTCAAAAAACAATGAGATCCTCGAATCTTTAATCGAATACGAGTTATTTTTGGAAATTTAATATCTTGTAAACGAAACATTCTTTTAAGCTGAAATTTTCAGGACATTCTAGTTACATATAGGTCTATCTATGAACAAATATTTCAATAGAATAGCTGTAACTTTATACGGCAGGCTTAGATACTCTTATGGTTTTTTCATAGCTTATTGAGATCTATCTCATATGTAAAATCCGAAATCAAAAGCAATTTTCAACTTGAGAAGGTTTCCTTGTAAGAAGTTCCTTCGTTTTGTGATGTCGATAAAATGCTACATATGGTTTAGAAATTTGTACGAAGTCGATTTGGATTCTAGTAAATTTTGTTGACTAAAATTCAGGTTTGAGAAGTTTTTTTAATCACAAGTTTTATGCTCTGATATTTACTATACCAATTGATACATGATAAAAGGTTCCAATGATGTTATATCAACATAAAAGAAAATTGGAGTTGTATCTGACTCTGACTCGATTTTTCGTGTCCGAATGCCTGTAAAAGACGTTTTTTTAGAAATTCTTTAACTCATCAATTTCTAGAGAAAATATCAGCGAACAAAACTTGTGATTGAAACAATTTTTTATGTTCAAATTGTATTGCTGATAACAAATCCAATTGGCTCTTTGTAGGTTTTATGAACTCAATTCTAGCGAAATCAATCTTCTTTAGCTGACTTATAAGCAATTTCATATAGAAATTCAACTGAATTCGTATAAAAACAATGAATCTAGATATCTGAACTTAAATTTTCTTCTCTTTGTTTTTATGAGACATGTGTGTTGAAATAAAGAGTAAGGTTTTCGGACGCTGCCAACATATACCATGACAGAGAACTTAGTAATAGAATAGCTTTGACATTGAAATTTATCTTATAGCGTTACACGTTAAAGACAATTGGCCAATTAAGATGTTCTAAGATACTATTGATTTAGTTGTATGTGATGAATGTAATACGATATCGAGTATATATATATATATATATTGATAATCAGCTCAAATTGATTTAGTAAATAAGTCTTTCTATTAATGATAAAGGAATTATTTTCTATTACATATTTTAATCTCAAAGAAAGAACAATGTGTAGGTGCAATTAAGATGATTAAAATTGTGCTCAACAACCTACACAATATTAAAAGAAATATCGTTGATATTAAGGCAAATCCGAGTGTGAACAGCAGAGACTGTGGGCTTCAAGCCCGCGCTTCCTCTCAGACAAATCTTAATTAGCAATAGATGAGATCAATAT